GTGTTGTTGAAGTTTCTTGCTGGTTTAGTACATGTTTCCAGTTGTGTTTTTGAGTTGAAATCCACTGTATGTTGAGGGCTTTATGATCCCACGTGTTTGCTGCTGGAACCTTTGAAGTTAAGAGGGTTTAGATTTGGCAACATGAAGGAGAAAAGTCGGGGAGCTTGCATCTGTGAACAAAATCTGATCTGTTTTCAGAATTAAATTTCAAAATTCTTCTTAAGTTTAGCTGTTCTAAATTATTCCTAATCATCATGGGGTCCTTCCAAACACAAATCATTACCCTTGAATTCATAATTCCAATTCAAGGAGAGTTAGTTAGAAGTCAAGTGAAGTTAAGAGTTAAACTTAGAAATGAAGTAAGTCAAAGCAAGTTTTCTTTCAAAGTTGTTCAAGAGTCTTTAGTGAATGTTTTAACTTCATTTTTAAGACTCAAGTTTCAAGTCAAGTAAGAGGGTATAGAGTTTCAAGTCAAGTAAAGGGTATAGAGCTTCAAGTCAAGTAAAGGGTATAGAGTTGCAAGCCAAGTGAAGAGTCTCAAGTTTCAAGTTAAGTCAAGAGCATAAAGTCGAGTCCATTTCTCCAAAGTTATTAGGGAACTATGTATTTCCCAAAGAAGTTTCTAAATGTTTTTACATTTAAGTAAGAAAGGAACATCAATTCCAAGAGAGCCTTTGGGCTAGATTTTGAGTAATTATCTCAAATTAAAGAAAGATGTGTTTAAAGAACTTATGAGCCAAAGTATATTTTTGGGAGTAGTCTTGAGCACCGAGTTGGGGGCACGAGTTCATATTAACTCAACTCTCCATAAGAACCATGCGCCAACATGGGATTTAACGGGTTATACTTTTTAGATGATCACGTAAAGTTAAGCTAGTGGATCCACTTAGTAAAGTTAGCTTCCTATATCGATGGCAAGGTATAGGATGGTCCTTGGGCAACGTGAGGTAAAACGTTGTACCACCACTAGGGCTCATAGTGGTGGTTGTCGGTTAAAGAATCTCCCACTAAAGTTATATTACTTTATATAAGTAAAGTTGAGTTTGTTATTGCCTTAATCATTAAAGAACTAAGTTGTTTACAATGTTTTCAAAGCTATATATATTGCATGTGTCTTATGGCTTATATATTGAGTTCAATTATTCATGAGTCGTACAGACCCAAGGTAAGTGTTCTCCTGTATTCCTTTCAAGCTTAAGTCGTGGTTTAGCTTTCCAGCTCGCATACTCGTACATTCCATGTACTGGATGCCAGTTGGCCTGCATCTTACTATGATGCAGATATAGGTACCCCGGCTCAGCATCCTACACGTCGTTGATCCAGCTGAGCACTCCAGAGTCAGTGGTGAGCCTCCTTGCATTCCGGAGGACTCAATTATTTTGTGTACTTAGTTTTGTTCTATTAGGATGTTGCGGGGTCTGTCCCAACATCCATATCAGTATATTAGAGGCTTCATAGACAGTCAGTCAGTTAGTTTTGAGTCTCTCATCTATGTTTATATGTAAATATTCTATTTTGAGATTTGAGTTGCCTTTGTGGCCAGATTTTATAAGTTAAGTTGTTTTGTAACCTTGCATTTGCATTGAGTTATTCTGTTGGGTTAGGTTTCCGCTGAGTTAAGAAAGCCAGGCCAAGGGTTCGTTTGGGGCCAGAAATGGTCTCCGGGTGCCGGTCCCGCCCAGGGTGTAGGCTCGGGGCGTGACAAAACCAGAACTCAGAATAAGAAATACAAGCCAAATTCAGAGTTCATGGAACTTTGGGTAGTACCCTAGATTAATCTCTTTACTGACTGAATTTAGTTGTAGGCAGTGAGGACCGACTTAATCCAACACTATGAATAGCCCTATATACCTGGAAGAACAAAGTTCTTGAAGAAATTATAAGAAGATGCTTGAAACCCCTAACTTTCGATTCTTGGATCCTTGCTCTAAGTCTTGGGAGTGATTATGAGAGTGTTAGGGCTGAACTAAACTGAAAAAAACCTTAATTAGGTGTAAACCATCGGGTTAAGGCTTAAATATGGTGGGGAAGAGACTGAATTAACCCCATCTAAAATTGGCAGGACCGTCCACAAAGAGGCTTCTACGGTCCGTACTCCCAACTAGAGACGTACTGTCCACTCATGGTTCCCACCAATGGAGACCGAGTCTTTGAGTTGAACTACGAACCAAGAACCATGACACGTAGTACAAACCACGAGTCGTACCCCTTCTCATACAGTGACCCTTTTCCAAAGGCCAGGATCCTGAGGCCTACAAACCACGATGGCCAAGTACGATCCATACATACTTTGATGGGCCGTACTATCAAGTCGTAATCAAATCATTGGAGACTCAACTTTATAAAGATCAACTACGGAAAGAATTCTACAATCTGTAGTTCCTTGTATGACCCGTACAAGCCGTCGGTAGAACTTAAAATGCTAAAATTTCATCAATTCTGATATCTATTCAACGAGCCTCATCCACGACCCATAGACCCATCCACGAGCCATACTGCTGGCTCATGGAATCCCATCTAAGACTTAACATTTTCCTGAACATAAAATCTTCTTAGGTCCGTACAAGGACTTGTAGAATTAGTGCACCAACAACTTTCTACAACTTTTCAACTTCTAATTGACGTTTACAGTTCCGAAGTGTTACATTTATGTAGCATAACCCGAAGGTTTTGTAGTTCAAAGAAGTGAAGGCAAGGTGTATAAGCTTCAACTAGTGTGATTCCATCCACGTCCGTTGTTGTTTGTCTATTTTGTAAGTAAATCGATGTGTTTACTGCCTTTTCCCCACAATTGACTTTGGCAACTTTTTCTTTATAGAGCTCGGTTGCTTGTTGTTCCTTATAGGAAGAAATTCTTGCATATCTAGGATGAACTATTCTTGGTGAACTAACAGAAGCATCACTTGTATTTATATTTGACTCAATACCTACTATTTATTCTTCACGCATGTCAACTTCTACTTTTATTTCTTCAGAATTTAGAACATCATCACAAAAAAATGTGCAAAACCATGATTTTTTGTGATGATGTTCCAAGTTCTAATAAGAGCAAAATTTGACACGCATGAAGAATCAATAGTAGGTGTTGAGTCAAATATAAATACAGACTTACTTCTGTTAGTGCACCAAGAATAGTTCATCTATGCTAAAAAAATTCCTGTAAGGAACAAGAACAACCGAGCTCTGCAAAGTAAAAGTTTCCAAAGTCTTTTTTGGGCAGAGGCGGTAAACACATTGATGTACTTCCAAAATAGACAAACAAAAAAGGTTGTGGATGGAACGAGACCAGTTGAAGCTTGGAATTGAATAAAACCATCAATAGGACATCTAAAGTTGTATGGTTCATTGTGTTATAATCATGTACCAGCTGTCAAACGGAGCAAGCTTGATGAAAAAACTGAAAAAAGGAATTTTTGTTGGTTATAGAATCTGGGAAACTTTTTATAAGTATAGAGGTGAAGGTGGATGAAGATGCTTATTGGGATTGGAATATCTCTCAAGTCTGAAGGATGGATGATGAACCTGCTTTAGAAGATTCAAATGAAGACTTGAAAGAAGAGAATGATAAAGATTTTTGTGTTAGAGGTAGTAGACCTTTGGTAGAAATTTATGGACGATGTAATCTCTGTATCCTGGAACCTTCAAAATTTAAAGATGCAAGTTGGATTGAAGAATGGAAGCAAGCAATAAAGGAGGACTTAACCATGATTGAGAAGAATGAGACCTGGAAACTCATTGAAAACCTGAAACTAAGCACATAGGAAAGCTGGTTGTTAAAGGTTATTTTCTCAACATCCTGGAATTGTATATTTAGATACTTTTGCACCTGTTGCAAGGATGGACACCATTAGAATTGTGATTTCATGGGCAGCTCAAATGAAGTGGAAAATCTGGCATTAGATGTTAAATCGGCCTTCTTTAATAGTTTTCTAGAAATTTATGTAACTCAACTTGAAGGTTTTGTAGTTCGAGAAAGTGAAGGTAAGGTGTATAAGCTTCAACTAGGGTCATTTCATCCACGAACCTTGTTGGTAGTCTAGTTTGCAGGTAAATCGACGCGTTTACTGCCTCTTCCAAAAAAGACTTTGGTAATTTTTTCTTTATAGAGCTCGGTTGCTTCTTGTTCCTTATAGGCATAAGATTTAGCATATCTAGGATGGACTATTCTTACTACACTGACACAAGCAACACATGTACTTATATCTGACTCTATATCTACCATCGTTTCTTAACGCATGTCACTGCTCTTATTTCTTTAGAATTTAGAACATTTTTTTTAGAATTTAGAACATCATCACACACAATCTGCAAAACATTATTTTGTCTGATGATGTTCTAAATTTTGAAGAAATAAGAGAAAAAATTGATATGCATGAAGAACCGATAATAGGTACAGAATTAGATATATGCACATGTATTGCTTCAGTCAGTGCACCAAGAATATTTCATCCAGATATACTAAAACTTCTTCTTGTAAGGAACAAAAAGCAACTGAGATCTCTAATGAAAAAGTTGCCATAGTCTCTTTTGGGAAGATGCGGTAAGCAAATCGATGTACTTGCAAAATAGACTACCAACAAGCGATGTGGATGGAATAACACCTGTTGAAGCTTGGAATTGCATAAGACATCTAAAGGTGTTTGGTTCATTGTGTTATACCCATATATCAACTGTTAAACAGAGCAAGCTTGACAAAAAAGCGGAAAAAGGAATTTTTGTTTGCTATAACTCTATCTCTAAGGGCTATAGAATTTACAATATTGAATCTGGGAAAGATTTTGTAAGAAGAGATTTACAATATAGAATTGATGCTTATTGGAATTCAAATATCTCGCAAGTCAGAAGGATGGATGTTGAACCTGCGTTAGAAGATTCAAATGAAGACTTGGAAGTAGAGAATGATAAAGATTTTTTTGTTAGAGGTACTAGACCTTTGGCAGAAATTTGTGGAAGATGTAATCTAGTTTTCCCTAAACCTTCAAACTTTCAAGATGCCGGTGGGATTGAAGAATGGATGAGAGAAATGAAGGAGGAAATAGCCATGATTGAGAATAACAAGACATGGAAACTCATTGACAAACTTGAAACAAAGCAAGTAATTGGAGTTAAATAGGTTTACTGAGTGAAGTTGAATGCAGATGGATCTATCAACCAGAACAAATAAAAGTTGGTTGATAAATTTAGATACAAATGAAATGGATCGAAAATCTGGCATTTAGATGTCAAATCTGCCTTCTTGAATGGTTTTCTAGAAGAGGAGATTTATGTAGCTTAACGCGAAGGTTTTGTAGTTCAAGAAAGTGGCGATGAGGTGTATAATCTTCAACTTGTGTCATTCCATCCATTGCCCTTTTTGGTAGTCTATTTTGCAAGTAAATCGATGTGTTTACCGCCTTTAGTCAAAAAGAGTTTGACAACTTTTTCTTCATAGATATCGGTAGCTTCTTGTTCCTTATAAGGAGAAGTTTTAGCATATCTGGTATGAACAATTATTGGTGCACTGGTAAAAGAAACACCAGTACTTATATCTAACTCGATACCTACCATTGTTTCTTCACGCACGTCAATTTCTGCTCTTATTTCTTCAAAATTTTGAAACATCGTCACACAATATATGCAAAACATGACGTTCTAAATTCTAAAGAAGTAAGAGCAGAAATCGACACACATGAAGAATCAATGGTAGGTATTGAGTAAGATATAAGTTCGTGTGTTTCTTCTGTTAATGCACCAAAAATACTTCATCCTATATATGATAAAACTTTTGCCTGTAAGGAACAAGAAGCCATAGAGCTCTATAAAAAAGTTACCAAAGTTGTTTTTGGGCAGAGGCGGTAAACACACTGATGTACTTGGAAAAGAGGTAACCAACAAGGGTCGTGGAGGGAATGACACTAGTTTAAGCTTGGAATTCCATAAAACCATCAATAAGACATTAAAGGTGTTTGGTTCATTGTGTATTACTCATGTACCAACTATCAAATGTAGTAAGCTTGATTATAAAGTAGAAAAATGATTTTTTGTTGGGTATAGCTCTATCTCTAAGGGCTGTAGCATTTACAATATTGAATCTTGGAAAGTTTTTATACGTAGAGATGTGAAGGTGGATGAAGAGTCCTATTGTGATCTGAATGTTTATCAAGTCCGAAGGATGGATATCGAACCTTCTTTAGAAGATTCAAATAAAGACTTGGAAGCAAAGAATGATGAAGATTTTTATGTTAGAGGTACTATATCTTTGGCAAAAAATTATGGAAGATGTAATCTTGTTATTGTGGAACCTTCAAATTTTCAAGATGCCAGTGGGATTGAAGAATAGAAGCGAGCATTGAAGGATGAAATAGGTTTACGTAGTGAAGTTTCATGTGATCAATCAACAAGAGAAAAGAGAATTTGGTTGTTAAAGTTTATTCTCAAAAGCCTGGCGTTGATTATTTAGATAGTTCTGCACCTGTTGCAAGGATGGACGCCATCAGAATTTTAATTGCATTGGCAGCACAAATGAAGTGGAAAATCTATCATTTAGATGATAAATCTGCCTTCCAGAATGGTTTTCTAGAAGAGGAGATTTATTTAGCTCAACCCGAAGGTTTTGTAGTTTAAGGAAGTGAAGGTAAGGTGTATAAGCTTCAACTGGTGTCATTCCATCCACGACCCTTGTTTGTAGTCTATTTTGCAAGTAAATCGATGTGTTCATCGCCTCGACCCAAAAAGACTTTTGGCAAGATTTCCTTAACAGAGATCAGTTGCTTCTCGTTCCTTGCAGGCAGAAGTTTTAGCATATCTGGGATGAACTAGTCTTGGTGCACTGACAGAAGAAACACCCGTACTTATAACTTGCTCAATACCTACCATTTATTCTTCACCCGTGTCAATATCTGCTCTTATTTCTTCGTAACTTAGAACATCATCACATAAAATCTGCAAAACCATAATTTTCTGTGATGATATTCTAAATTCTGAAGAAATAAGAGCAAAAATTGACAAGCATGAAGAATCAATGGTAGGCATCGAGTCAGAATAAGTGCAAGTGTTGCTTTTGTCAGTGCACCAAGAATAGTTTATTCTAGATAAACTAAAATTTCTTCCTGTAAGAAATAGAAGCAACCGAGCTCTCTAAAGAAAAAGTTGCCAAAGTATTTTTTGGGCAGATGCGATAAATACATAGATTTATTAGCAAACTAGACTTCCAACAAGGGTCGTGTATTGAATGACATTAGTTGTATCTTGGAATTTCATAAGACCATCAACAAGACATCTTAAAGTTTTGGGTTCATTGTGTTATACTCATGTACCAGCTTACAAACGGAGAAAGTTTTTTGCAAAAATTGAAAAAGGAATTTTGGTTGGTTATAGCTGTATCTTTATGGGCAATAGAATTTATAATATTGAATCTGAGAAAGTTTTCGTCACTAGAGATGTGAAGGTGGATGAAGTGGGATTGGAATATCTCTCAAGTCAGAAGGATGTGTGTTGAACCGGCTTTAGAAGATTCAAATGAAGTCTTGGAAGTAGAATGATGATCATTTTTCTGTTGGAGGTACTAGACCTTGGCAGTAATTTATGGAATATGTGATCTTAGCTTGTTATCCTGGAATGTTCAAACTTTAAAGATTCTAGTTCTATTGAGGAATTCAAGCGAGTGAAATAGCAATGATTGAGAAGAACGAGACATGGAAACTCGTTGACAAACCTAAAACTAAGCAAGTTATTTGAGTTAAATGGGTGAACAGAGTAAAGTTGAATGCGGATAGATCTATCAACAAGAACAAAGAAGGGATGGTTGTTAAAGGTTATTCTCAATAGCTAAGATTTTATTATTTAGATACTTTTGCACTTGTTGCAAGGATGGACGCCATCAGAATTTTGATTGCATTGGCGACACAAATGAAGTGGAAAATCTGGCACTCAGATGTCAAAATCTGCCTTGTTGAATGGTTTTCTAGTAGAGGAGATTTATGTAGCTCAACCCGAAGGTTTTGTAGATCATGGAAGTGAAAGTAAGGTGTATAAGCTTCAACAGGTGTCATTCCATCCACGACCCTTGTTGGTAGTCTATTTTGAAAGTAAATCGACGTGTTTAGCGCCTCTACCGAGCTCAGTTGCTTTTTGTTCCTTACAGGGAGAAGTTTTAGTATATCTACAATGAACTATTCTTGGTGCACAGACATAAGTGCTACTTGTACTTATATCTTGCTCAAAATCTACCATTGATTCTTCACATGTGTCAATTTCTGCTCTCATTTCTTCAGAATTTTTAACATCATCACATAAAATCTGCAACATCATGTTTTTGTGTGATGATGTTCTAAATTCTGAAGAAATAAAAGCAAAAATTGACACGCATGAAGAATCAATTGTAGGTATTGAGTAAGATATAAGTACAAGTGTTGCTTTTGTCAGTGCACCAAGAATAGTTTATTCCAGATAAACTAAAACTTCTGCCTGTAAGGAACAAAAGCAACCGAGCTATCTAAAGAATAAGTTTCCAAACTAATTGGTACAGTGACATACTAATGTGTGTTTTGAAAGTTGTCCAGTACGCCCATATTGTGTCATCTATCTTCCTTGCCCAGTCAGTCTTGTTCGCATTCACATTCTTCGCCAATATGAACTTTATTTCTCTATTAGAAACCTCAACTTGTCCACCCGTCTACGGATGATATGGGGTTACTACGTTTTGTTGTTTCACCCTATAATTTTTCCAGTAGTGTGCTAAACACTTTGTTGTAGAAGTGTGAATCCCCGTCACTAATAATCACCCTAGGTGTTCCAAACCTAGAAAAAATATTTCTCTTTAAGAACCCAACAACACTCTTTCCATCATTTTCCCCCAATGCAACAACTTCTACCCATTTGGAAACATAGTCTACTGCTACCAAGATGTACTTCTGCCCATATGAACTCACAAATGGCCGCATAATGTTGATTCTCCATACATCAAATAATTCAACCTCCAAGATAGGGGTCATAGGTAGCTCATGACGACGAGATTTGGCTCCTTGCCTTTGACACATATCACAACCTTTTACCATATCAAATGCATCTTGATGAATTGTGAGCCAGTAGTAACCACTTTGAAACACTTTGTGGGCAGTGCGAGCTTCTCCATGGTGTCCACCAACTGGAGAGGAGTGACAAGCTTCAAGAATACTCAGCATTTTAGCTCCAAGTAATCACCACCTGATTATCTTGTTAGCACAAACCCTGTACAAGTAAGGTTCATCCCAAAAGTATTTTGTCACATCACGCAAGAACTTCTTCCTTTGATGAATGCTCAATTCCTCAGGCATCAAATCACTGGCAAGATAGTTGGAAAACTCTGCAAACCAAGAAATAAGATCGAGAGTAGCGGCTACAACTTGGTCAGCTTGGAATGCGTCAACAATGTCAAGCTCAGCTATCCCCTTCTTTTCTGCTTTTAACCTTGACAAGTGTTCCTTCACTTGGTTTTCACAACCTCTTCGGTCTTTGGCTTCTAAGTCAAATTTCTGTAACAGCAGCACTCATCTTATAGTTCCAATCAATTTTTACTCGGTGACGATATAGTTCTTCTAAACTCCATTCAATGCCTTGCTTGCGTAGTATATCAGGTCAATTACATATGCACTTATTTTCATCATTCTCTCTTAGCTTCAATCACATAGAAAATATGACGCCTATAACCATTTACTTTAGTGATTCGATTTCTAAAAAACTATTTCTCACTCTTAGCTAATATGGGATCATATATCAAGTCTTCATCAAGAAAGACACTTCGTAGCTACCACTCTTCCACCCATAAGTGATTTAGTCTTGTGTTGTTTTAAAGGGTGGAATATCTCGAAGGGTATTAGAAGAAGATATTGAAGAAACATGAAATTTATCCATATTGATTATATTATCGAAAATAAGATGAGCAGCTTTGCTTATCACATCTGAGAAGAAGTACTTAATTTTGTTTCATTCTATGATCGGGATATTAAAATGTTATATTAGTACTAAAGTGTGAAAAGTAACTATTATTCAAAAACTAACCTCCTAGAATTGTAAAGCTTGGATCTTTTCTTACAAAGCGAATGGACCACTTAACAACACCATCCTGTTAAACATATATAATAAAGTAACTTATCTTTGTAGTTCATAAATATAACATATAAAAGTGACATTATTAATAAGACTTTTTTGTTGAAGATTTTAAATGTAGTTCGGCCTACGTGGCACTATCTTGTGGGCTCAGTGCGTGTTGACAATTTTTCCAAGGATAGTGCCACGTAGGTCGAAAAGGGGTAGAAAAATAATTAAAATATAAGTTCGGGGGGTAATAGGACTTTAGTAAAGGTTAGGTGTGTCTCAGGGATTTTGGGCATAGGCTGGGGGGTACTTATGCATTTTCCCTTTTAAATACATACGGTACCATTGTGGGAGTGCATGCAAAAATATTTAAACTAAATAAGATGAAAGTTTATTTATAAAATGAATGATTAAAGCTTGCAAAGAAAATATATAAAAAAAAAGCTAAATAATGTGAAGGGTAATTTTGTAAACAAACAACTTGTTTTTAAAATCTATGCAATGCATATTATTTTGAATAGGGATAAGACACAAGTACCCCCCTAGACTATGACCGAAATCCCAGAGACACACCTTAACTAAACTATGGTCCTATTACCCTCCTGAACTTATTTTTTTTGTAATTTTGTACAACTTTTGTCTTACTGTAACATCCGACAATTTGAAATAGCTAAGAAGAGGCTTAGAATTTGAAAATTTTCAATTTTTGGAAAGGATTTGAAAATCTGGAAAATTGGCTAAGTGTGGAAATCAGTGATTTTTGGCCAACTTTGAGCAGTCATAACTTCCATCTCAGGATGAGTTAGGAGTAGTTCCAGTTATGGTTGTGAAGCTTGTGGAATGATCTTTCCAACGCCGCCGAGTTTGCTCAATTCCGAGTTCGTATGAGCGAGTTATGGCCCTTTGAAAGTTGGACAGTTGACAAGAAAATCCGTCCGGGAATCATTAAGAGCGTTTTGGTCTTTTCCCTAGCTAATTCTTTTGAGGATATATTGTTGTGTTAGGAT